ATTGATTTAGCACCTATGAGATACATTTTGCTTCACACAAAAACGTTGGTGTTCCCAAGTAAGACGAATGTACTTTAAAAGCTAATTTAAGTGTTGTAAATTCTGTTCTACGCATTTTTTCCTTTGTAAATCTTTATCTGATACTATGTTATATCACGTTATATTTACATCACTATGTATCAGCCAGGAATTGGAGGAATAAAAAAATTAATTAATTAAAAAAAGCTTCTATTAAAAAGTAGCTTAGAGGTCACTTTATTTCTTTTCCTTTTCAGAAATATGATCTGAGGTTAATGGCAAAAAGTCGATCATCAGAGGCTTGGAATTAAAATACAAGTGGTTGATATCAAAATGATGAACATAACCAAAGATAAAAACAATACCAATGTTCAAGAGTTTTCTTGCACCACTGGAATTCATCAGGAAATTTATCAGAAAGTGTTCATCATGTCATTACATATTATTGTGTCACTCACTGCAGTTGTGGGAAATTCTTTGATCCTCGTTGCCCTTCGGAAGGAGTCAACCCTTCATCCGCCATCAAAGCTTCTGTTTATTTCCCTTGCATGTACCGATCTCTGTGTTGGTATCATCTCGGAGCCCATTAACTTCATATTATTTCTTTCTCAAGAGCATTCGAAATTTTGTGTCATCACAGAAATGATTGCTAATGCAGTAGCGGGAACGTTCTGTGGGGTGTCTCTTGCAACACTGACTGCAATAAGTGTGGACAGACTTCTGGCCCTAACGATGAGACTGAGATACAGAAGGGTGGTCACAATAATGAGAGTTAGAAGTTTTGTTCTTTCCTCTTGGATTGCAAGTTTTATGGCTGCAGTAATTTTCGTCTACGACATACATCTTGCCGTAATCATCTCCAGCATAGGGATGACTTTTTTATTAGCAATTTCTACTTTCTGCTACTGGAACATTTACAAAAGACTTCAACATCGACAGACCAAAGTACACGTACAGAATATTATTGTGGTATATCGAGGAAAGGAAGGGAGAACGGGAGGTGGAAAAATAGAATGCCCAAAAGGAAAAGGAGTGAAGGAGGAAACAGGGGAAGAGGTCAGTGGGAGGGGAGCGAGAGTTGCAGAAAGGGGAAGTTTGAATATCGCAAGATACAAAGAGACAGTGTCTAGTGCACTGTGGGTGCATTCAACATTACTTGGTTGTTATCTTCCATTTGGCATAATTTCAGCTACACTCGCAATTACTGGACAACGAACTCATTTACATCACTTCGCATGGGATGTAGCAGGATTGATCGTCTTCTCTAATTCGGCTCTGAATCCATTTCTTTATTGTTGGAAGATAAAGGAAGTGAGACAAGCAGTAAAGGACATGATAAGACCACGGTTGTATTGCTGTCCTTGTTAACTTTAACCTTGTGACGTAATCTTTGATGAGTTACCTCTTTTTCAATGAATCAGTGAAAATAATAAAAAAGAAACCCTGTGTTCCTAATTCGCTATTCCATCAGGAATTTATCGACGCAACTTAAACTCAACTGACTTATAATTGGAAAGGAAGGTCACTGTTGGAGAATTTTTAAACTGACCATGTAAAGCCATGTTTGTTTGTCGCACGGCACTGTGATGACGCGCAATCTTGTGCTTCTCGCGGCGCACAACTTGACAACAATAGAGTTAATTTTAGTGGAGAATTCCTTCTAAGTAGTTTCTGGACGAACATTCGCACAAAAGTTGACATTGAAATGATCATTAGTCGGAAAATTTTGCAATTAGATTTATTATATATGTTTATATATTGACCAAGCGTCGGGTTACGATGACTGGATGTTGGACAAAGTCTTTCTTTGCTTTTTTATGGACCGAGACGACTGACATAGTCACTTTCACCAATTCATCTAGGGCCTTTTTATGAAGAAATGGATGCACCTGATATTGCTCGTTATTTACAAAACGTTACAGAGCTCCAACGGTTTGTAAATGGTAGAAACTCTGATTTAATGGCACGACGACGAATACAAAAAGCAAAAAAACTTTCGTTTAACACAATCTTCATAAAGGACCACCAGCCGGAAAATGACATGTATGTCTCTTACAGAAGGATTGTTTATTAACGAAACGACGCAAAATGCTTTTCTTAAAAGTGCATAACCCGAAAAGGGACCGGTGGGTTGTCTTATAAAAAGTAACGAACGGTTCGGAGATTTTTTACCGGCTGCAAAAAGGTGGCTGAGAGATTCTGAGTTTGTTGAGAGGATTTTAAGGGGTTGATCACCGTCCTTCAAATGGCCAAAAAATTAACCAACAAATCATACAAAGGTGAAAGTGCATGCTTAATATCGCTAAACGTTAATTAGGTCAGGGAGTAATAGCCTTACCAGGAACTAAAATAGAGTCATGGGTATCCTGAGTATAAACGGTTGCCTTAAATCTCTAAAAAAGCATTAACATCCAGATCGCAAAGGTTGTAAAAGGAATGTATGTGACTTATCGCAATGCAATCGCTTACGTATTCGTTGTCAAACTGCGCTGCTAAACAAAGTTTTAGCAGCGGGAAGGGCTCCTAAACCTCTCTTCTGTCCTCTCTCTTTCTTATGGATGAGGAAAGAGATTCATCTCTAGCATAAAATAAAATGAGCACAAAGATGTGGGCAGACTTTTATTAGAATTTATTTAACTCGTCCCCAATCGTCTTCACAACGCGCGCGGCTCGATAATGAATTGAGGGAGAAAGATTCCAAGGTTGATCGCTGTCTCCCTAACCATTACGACTCGATTAGGAAGACAAACTGGGTTGAGTTAGAAATAGAGACGCATTTCTACGTTTCACTCTATATGAACAAGTATCTGCCACTGAATAAACCATAAACTAAAATCACACCAAAAGTTGAATTTATTTATGTTCAATTATGAAACCGATCCGCTGGAAAAATTTGGAGATGAATTTCATAGTATATAGAAATTAAAAAACGTCGGGTCCGTGCCTTTAGCAATCGATTGACTTTCCGTCTACAGTTAACGCAAACGGCTGACATTTACATGTATCAGGTTTGGAAAGTGTTTCAAAAACTCCATTTTGTATGTGAAATTAACCGGTTTCACCGTAGACGGAGCCCAAGTTTAATTGTATAGATTTTTCGATATGATATCAGGTGAACACGCCACATATTCGTTGGGCCGGACAATTGAATAAATCAGTAGTGGTTTAGCGTGGTCTGCCCTCTTATCGACAACCATATTCGTCATCACAGTCGTCAATAGGGACCTTTTGCAAACTACGACAGCGACGAGGACGTGGAAAAACCAAAGATCCAATGAGCAGAACAATAGCTCAGCGCGTGCGTTTTAAAACTGTGTACATTTCCTAGCCGTCCTCTGCAAAATAACAATGTGAAATAATCAAAATTCGCGTGGTCCGAGAAAGGAAACCCCGAATGCAGATTATTTAAGTTTCCATATGAATTCAGCGCCGCTCTCATACGTTATGCTGAGGTTAACTTGTGGCGCCGTAGGAGATGATAAACACATCCATTCATTCGCGAAATTCCAACTGAAAATATGCATTCATTTTCTTCCTTGGCGTTGCCGTCCTAACTGCTAAAGGTCCCTAATGTTGTGGACTCACGAGGCGCAGCCGAGTGGGTGTGCAACAAATCTTAACCGCTGTGATGACGAACCTCTTTGTCGATAAGAGGATAGACCACGCTAAACCACTGTCAATTCATTTTTTACCACAATATCGACATCAAATAAAACGATTTATCCAGTTCGTGAACATTACGTGACACGTTGACGATAGCAACGTTGTCTGTACTCTTATCGAAAACGGCAAATTGGCCAATCAGATTGCGACATTACTGCTAACTGTTTGCAAAATAATGTGCGATCAGCAATTGAATACAAGAAAATATATGTAAAAACCGACTGAATTAGAAAATTGACAAATATGTACAATCAAGGATAAACTCCGACAATCTATTTCTGTGTCCTGGAACTGAATATATAATACATAATATATTACATAAAATATTTACGATATCGACATAGAATGTATCAAAGAATACAATTTCTCTAAAACATTACAAATTTGAGAGGAACTATAAGATAAATGGTCAAATAAATCGAAGCTCTTGCCGCCATTTAAGAAGCAGGCCCCAGTTGTTCGAAAGCCGATGAAATTATACCTCAATTAGAGGTTAATCGACGATTAAATTTATTACCCCTAGGATAGCTAATCTAGGAGTAAAATAACGTTCCTGGAAGCAGATTTATCCTTTGATTAACCATTCCACGATTAAGCTGAGATTAAACCAGTCAAACCGGTTATTAAGAGCTACGCGGCTACACGCTAAAAATAAAATTGGAGGGAAACATTAAAATGGCGGCAAGTGAGAATGCACATGAAAGTGGAAGCAAAACGAAAGACATTTAATCGTGTGTCAGCGCTAATCGGCTTTCGAACAACCGGGGCCAGATGTTTTGAAGTTGTTCTGTACAGTTTGGCGCACGGTCATAACTTTTCCATTGTATACTTCATTCTAATCGAAAATGTACTTTCCTCTATTAATATTGGGTAAAAAAATATCACGCAGTGAGTCATGCCAGTTTTGAAAGTGATTGTGATATTACTTATACAATCACTGAGCCGGTAGTCTCAAATGAATCGAATGGCTGTCAACCCTGTTTGAGAAACACGGGACAATGTTTTAGCCCCTAAAACGCTAACTGCTCCTACAATAGAACGTAAAAAGACATACATCCACGAGATGGATTTCCTTTAAAAATATAAAGTTCGTTAACCCTTTCACTCCAAAGAGGTAAATATAATTCTCTACGCTGTCTGATATACATGTATTCAATTTCAGCTCTGTGAATTTGGTGTAAACTCAAACGATATCTTTTATTGTGTTTCTCTCCTTCTTATCATCTTCCTTCTTATGATGTATTGTTACTCTGACGTAAAAAGTATTTTTCTTCGTCACTCCCGGGAGTGACAGGGTGATTATGTGGACATTATTCTGCTTACAAGAGAGGTTTCCGGAATTTCTCTTTTTTGTTACTCTGCATGGCATGAATCAACTTCTCCCAGAACCATTTGTCTTTGATGCTGAGGTAGGTGTTGGTGCGTAAGTACAGCTTTATTTCTCCATCCAGCTCATCCAAAGTCACATCATCAAACAGAATAACGATCAGTTTAAGGCGATCCTCCAGCACTTTGTGGTGCGCTGTACGAAACTCTAACATGCACCACTCACTCTGTAAGAAGGTGCGAGATAACACTATGAGCATACGGTTACTCTTTTCCACGCTGTTCAAAATGTTTTTGACTATTGGTGTACCGATTTCAAAGTCCCGGTGGTGAATGCACAGTTTAAAAATTGGATGACGTTTTTCTAGTCGTTCTTGTAGTATATTCACAACCCAGTGGCGGTCATTTTCGCTGTAGGATACGAACGCATCGTATATCTTCGTTGAATCCGAGTCATTTTTGCCCCCAAACGGCCACCGGTTTAGGTGGGTGTTAATGATTGCTTTGAGTTCTCTTCGGTAAACATGCACGAGAATAGAAATGATTATGGATATGGCCAATAAAGTTCCAAGGACAGCACTAGTGATGACTGAGGAAGTAGGATTCGGAGTGTTAGTTGATCTAACACTCTGACCCACCGTTCCATTGCAGCCAAATCTCTCGTCAGGCAATATGTAAACTGCTTTCTCCTCCATGGAACCGTCCGACTTACAAAGAATATTTTCGACTCTCTCAACTTGACCATTATCGTTAAGATTCTGCAGCCAGTTTTTCATCCACTTCGTTGAACAATTACAATCAAAATTATTATCATGTAACGCAAGATTAGTGAGAAAAAGATTCTCGATGTTTCTAGGAAGTGTTGTCAAATTGTTTGAATCCATATGGAGAATCCTGATCCTTTCGAAGCTGTCTACTACCACTTCATTTAATCGTTGGATCTCGTTGTGCGTCAAATACAAAGCTGTAAGGTTTTTCAAATAAGGATGTCTTGGTATATCTCGGATGTAGTTGTTTCGTAAGTTGAGCTGAATTGAATCACTACTTGGAAGTGTTTTTGGCATTATGCCGAGTTTCCTTCCTTGGCAATCAATGACAACAGTTTGATCTGAACATCTCTCAAAACACGAGCATTCCTTAGGGCACTGTCTCGGTTCATTTTGCTTAATCAAATCATTTGCGTTAGTTTCAAGGATGGTTTTGTCCCTCATTTGTTCGGGCCAAGCACATTTCCAAGATCTGAAGCGGATTTTCGAGCCAGGATTATTTTTAGAGAGGAGTTCTATCTTGCGCTTGATAGCTATTATACTACAATCGCATATGAGAGGATTACCCTCTAAATTGACCTCGTAAATTTCCAAGAAACGAGAAAGCTTCAGTGCATCAGGCTCCTTTACGCCTTGCATGCTCAACGACGTAAAGTTGTTGTTTTTCAAATCAAGTAGTTTAGGCTGAGTTTCCTGGAACGAGACGTTGTCTGTCTCAAAATCTAAATTTTCTAAAAGATTGATAAGATCTTGAAAGGTTAACGCGTTAAAAGAGAGATCTATTTTTGACACATTTTGAAGGCGAAATAAAGAAATGGGAAAGTAGGAGAGAACGTTATTTTGAAGGTAAACCTCTCGTAAACTATTTGAAAAAGCACCTTCTTCGACTGTTTTGATTCTGTTCCCTTCTAAATGTAGAATCAGAAGTCTTTTGGAGGAGTTAAACAGTCCACCGGCGATTTTCCTGATCTTGTTATGTCCCAAAGTAATTTTCATGATATTTTCTGAGCCTCTGAATAATTCCGCCGGAACAACAGATAAGTTATTCTCATGCAGCTGAATTTCGGTCAGAGAGTTTAAGCCATGGAACAACTGGGATGGGAGTTCTTGAATATTGTTCTTACTGATATCGATCACCTGAATTCCGCTCAAATTCTGAAAGCTTGTCGCTCCAATTGTTTGCAAACCATTTCTGGTAAGTGAAAGTTTGTGCAGAAATCCGTGGAACTCGTGCAACGATAAATCTTGAATGATATTGCCATCTAGTCTTAAACTACGCACATAATTGTCCGCATCGACGTCACTACCTCCAAGTGTCTTTACCTTTAACCCTTTCGCTCCTATTAAACCATGAGGAAACTTTAAAGCGGTATTATTCCAGGGAAAGATGGGTGGCTGGGTCAATTTATTAAATCGTAGGTCGAGTGTTTGTAGTCTAGGCATTACTGTTTGTAGTTTCTCTGGCATTCTTTTGAGTGAGAGATTTGTCAACGCGAGTTCTGCCATTTTCGACCTTACACCCGTAATTTCGGAGAGTGCATCCAATATAGCTAGGGGGAAATTGCTATCAAGCGATAAGGCTCTCAAGCTTGCCAGACTTTGAATTTCACTTTCAAATGCATAATCCTTTAAAAGTTTTGGAAAACGTCCATTTTTTCCTTCTTTAAAGCCAAGTCCGTGGAAATCAGTCACGTTTGACCACAAGGCAAGATTTTTCATTGAGACGTGACACGGTCCACTGATGATCAAAGTCAACATTGTAAAGTTGTCGGCCACGTTGTGCGAATTATTAAAAACGATTTCCGCCGGTTCGCGGCACTGTATATGTACAGTCAAGAACAACAATCTGTCATTTTTTAAGCGAGGGTCTAATGCAGTGCTTACGTCAAACTGGTGCTGGGCCCCAGTGTGTGGCATGATAGAACAGTTTACCTGTTTATTTGGTACTGGATTGCCTTGTCTGGTCTTGAATGAAGATGGATAGAGTTTTCTCAGGCATTGCATCATGTCTGTTGACGTTTTACTTTCGTCATGGCCATTTGAAGCTTCTATCAATAGCAGAAAAATTATGGTACGCAGCAAAAACGTAAGGCTCCAATTCATCTTTAGGTGGCGGTCAAATGAGTGAGGTCTATTCGGGGCCTGCAAAAAATTAACGGCGCTATCTTTAAATTTATTTCAAAGTATGATTAGCGTTATAACATCCCTATTACAAGCGGGGTAAGACTTGCTCTTGAATCATCAAACATAGTCATGTATAGTGTAAAAAGAGCAACTAACACGACAAATTTAAAAAAGAGACAAGGGTAGAGGTTCACTCACCACTGTCTTCTTCAAACAGTTTCCCCATGGCGTCCATGAGTTGTGGAAAAAGCTATCACTTTTATCGGAAGTTTGCTAAGTTCAGAACACGAAGCTAAAGAAAACTGAAGTTAAGAAAGTTTGATTTATACCTTTAGAAAGAAAAACTCATCTATTTTTGGAAAGTTGAGTCAGTGTCAGAGTATTCACTTATGATAAGCCGATAAGGATATGATATCAGACATACAAAAAAAATTCCACATATAAGTTTGTTTTCAAATTTTCAGTCATCCATGAATGTTCAATCCAAACAGTCAAGCGTGCACCTCCACACATCTATCTATGTTTTCCATCACGAGATTTAATATTTTTCAAGTATTAAATCCAATATCAAAATCAAGTACAAATGAGCCTTGTATTAATAACATAACGTTTAATAGCCTCTCCCTCGGAGCCCTGTGCTGCATGCTTGTTTTGACGTTTTCGGAGTTTCCAGGATGTTGCACTAGCTTGTGGCAAGTGAGGTCAAAATACTTGACCACCCTTTATCTTGACTCTAGCTCTTAAACAAAAGGCAAATATTATTTTTAAATCAAGGAAATTTCCATAATCAACCGGCCTGGTATCTGATATGATGCATCTGCTACAATTTGTAGACGTTATTCGGTCGAAAGATTTTCAACTTCCACATATTGTTCCCCAACAATGACACTAAGTCAAACCAAGGGTATACATGATTTGCCTGATTGTCATAAGCTTCTTAGATTTCTCATAGAGTCTTAGAGACATCGCAAATAAAACCAACAAGATAATTAAAAGGAGCTTCCTGATTTACAAGACCGTTATCACATTTCTGCTCCAGGGGGAAATTTAATTCCTTGTTAATAAAAGGACGGTGACGTAATATTAGACTTGTTTCTATCAGGCCACCTCTGCCTGTTGGGGCGCATCAAAAGAACCCATGCAGAGCACACGTTCCATGCACTTTTTTTCGCTTTATCCCTTGACCTCAAAGAGTGACAAACATCTAATTTCTCCTTACAATTTCACCCCTAAATCACACGTTAAGGTCACGAGAACAAAGGAAATGATCACCAATTACAGAGGCTTCTCGTTGTCAGCACCTTAAGAAATGTATAGAGAACAGAATGGAGAATATGCATCCTGATGTCATGGTGTATCAAAAGACTACGTAAAGCGTTAGCGGCAACAACACTAATTAACCTTATTTTAGCTTGAATTAAGGCCGCAAAATAAAAGTCCCTTAGCTTCAGCAGAGGGGAGACTGCCAAATGATGTTTGCTTGTGATTTACTCGTTGTAAAAGTGGTATTTAAGTTGTAGCTTTCTCAACTGGAAATGTAAAATCATGATGTCCGCGCCAGAGGTACTAGAGAGAAAACAAACACGAAGGCAGCCGCGTCATAGACTTCCGGTCGATAAAAATACTCAAACTACCATGCCGATCAACTCGTTCATCAATAAGAAATGCGCTTACTATTGCAAGACATGACTTCACCTCTTGCATTTGAAGCACAATAATACGGAGGCAAAAATAGAAATACAGACAATTTCTATAGATTACAGAGGTGGACGGAACCACGCATGGCCAGAATATTACGTCAGCAACATCCGCTGTGCCTTCACTACCATGTTTACATGAACTCATTTCTGTTGACAGTAGATGAATACGTTACTAATGGACGCTAAACCGGAATATTCAAAATAAAAGTCTTATTTCCGAAGGTCAAAAAGGATGTTTATGACTAGAGAAGATTGAGACAGACCTCAAGTCACACATCATAAACCGTGATATAGCTTACGTGACGTGTATGACAAAATTTTGACGGACGGGGAGAGGATCAGGTCTCATCTGGTGCAGCTTGGATAGGTTGCAATGGGCAAAAATGATTAGATATGAAAACTGTAAGTACGCGAGCACTCACATCTTCCGTACTTCCCATAAAGCCTCATCCCATCGATAGCCTCGTTAATCGCAAAGAATATTCTTTAGAATAACATTAAAACTTCTCAGTCGACAATTTGACACATACTCAATTACAAATAATATCGGTTGGTATTTAATCAAAATATATACATTCATGGAAAAAAAAAAGGAAAACGAAATTGTAGAGACTATATAAATAGGCTGAAGTATTACAGCTACCGGTCAGTCAAACACAACAGTCATTAGTTTTGTAAATGTACGTGATGAGCATTGCAAATTTTCGGCAGTATCCGGCATAAATAAGTTAATAAGAGGGTACAAATCTACCCATTCGTGCACATCTCTAGCAAACGTTATTCGTAGCACATCAAATTTTCAGACTCGCGGGATCGAGCAAACCTACAGCATACTATGACAGGCTATTAGCAGAGAAAGGTCCCTTCATCCATAGAAGCGTGCATATAATGGAACAAGAAAAAAAAACAAACAGATGAGGCCTCCGTAAGAAAAAACTTCACATTAATTGTCTTTGTTGGATTCATCTTGTCTCTGAGCAAGAAGATAACGGAAACAGATAAGTAACTACTAAACGACCAACAGTAATTTCTCGTTCAACAAGATCCCTTGATGTTCTTGACGCTTGTTGAGCGATGGACAAGTTGTCAGCAACTTGGACAGGTTGAACACAACATCCAACACCAATTATTTAGCACCCTTCAAGTCTGGTTTTTCCTGAAAGAAAGGAAAAAAAAAAGATTCACTCCAAATACAAACGTGGACCAAATTAAAGTACAGGAAGTTTAAGAGTAAATATCAAAGGCGGATGCGTTTAAACATTCACGGAGAGGCACGCTCTTAGAAATTCGAACCACCGATACCAATTTTTCATTTGCTCTCAGTCTATCAGATGACCTGCATTCTTGACAAAGGGTCACGTAACAACGCAATGGTAAAAGTTGACAGTTGCTATGGCTTGCAACACTAATCTTGATGGGCTTTCTGTGGCGCGTTGGTCTGGGCACGAGTTTACAGCCAGTTCTGATTTCGATTTGTGGTCAGTCTGGCTACCGAAATGTTTGTTCCTGTGAACACGTCTACATTACGTTGGTCAGCGGTAGCGAAACAATCATGCGTAGCATTGACAGAGTGGACCGCATGCTTTGAAGTGTGTTGAAGTGGGAATTTTCTTCTGTAACGGTGAGAAAGCGCACCTCAGGAAATGTATTCAGAACAGTATGGAGAATAAAAACACTGACGTAAGGGTATCAAGTGCTAAAAACAGTGAAACATTCTTTTAAAGATGGATATGTCAATGAGGCATAGAGGAAGGATAAGGAACTCACCTCAATTACTTCCTCGACACACTTTATCACATGAGCTATGTGTTTGCCTCTGAACCCAGCGACTCCAGCAGCCGCTTTTGCTTTCCTCAGGTAAACAATCAATTCTTGTCTGTAAAAAGAAAATCGCATGTCAAATAAACAGCAGGACCATTTTTGACACGAGTGCTTCGAGGGTCAAACAACAGTGAAACGAGATAGGTAGTAACATTATCGAAGTACAAATATCTATTTTACTCAAGGACCTGTTCAAAATTTTTGCAGTTCAGTTTCAGTCATAAATCACCATCAAGGCTCTAAAGCGCATGTTTCATAAAGCGCATGTTTCATATGTAGTCTTCATGAACTAATTAGAGCAAGAAGAAAAGCTGTTGCAATAACTATGTGGACCTGCATGTATGTGAGGTTTACCAAGAAAGCGCCAAGTTACAAAGACGCGAGTCGCTGACATTTAATGTCACCTACTTCCGCATTCCCAAGCGCTTCCTATACAAGCGGTGTACACAGCTCTCGCTCAACATCTAAACAAGTTCACCTGCTCTTATCTGGAAACCTTTTATGAAGCCTCTCCATCAGCTTCTCAAACGAAGAGAATTTTCCAGCTGAACGAGCTGGAGGCGAGAGTTGTTGCTGATCCTTCGCTGGTACAGGTTCGGTACAGAGGCCAGGAGGAGGTCGCAGCGGTTTACAACTATCAGGCAAATTATTTCCTAAGGTAATTTTGGGTTGAACCACAAGGCCTGCCAGGTACTGGGCTATAATGTGCGTGGGGAGACCAGAAAAAGGCTGAGACTGAATAGGAAGGAACTGCTGAAGTGTTTGATGTTGACCTGTTAAGTTTGGCACTGCTATGTTAGTAGGTAAGACAGGATTGCGACCATCTGAGGAAGACGATTTTTGTGCTGCACGTTGGTCCTTAGCCTCAGCAGATTGCTTTGTTGCATATCCCTCATTTCCACTCCCTGCTTTTGGCGAAACATGAGACAACAATAAGTTGTTTTCCGGTTGAGTTGTTGAGGATTCAACATTTTGGCAAACTGTCTTAGAGATATCCTGAGGAGAGGGTGTTTGAATAACTTCTTGGATTCTTGTCTCTTGCTCTGTTGGCGCTACAGTTTCCCCATTCTCTGACGAAGCCATCCCACAGTCCGCATAATTCAAAGCTTGCACAGTAGTTTCTCCACCGTGCAGCCGGGTGCCATCACCATTTCTTTGTCTGAATGACGATAGTAGACTCACCTCGTTGCTGACGCACATTTCGTCCGATCCAACAGAGGGTGGATTTCCATCTCCTTTTTTTCCACATATTTGTTTAAACAAAGTGCTTCTTGATTTTTTACTAGTGTAAAGTTTCCATCCATCGTCAATCTGATCATTCAAAGCTTCTTTTTGCGAGCTGTGACTTACAGCTTTACGGTGAGTGGCGCTATTTTGAGGGCAAATATCAAAGATGTAAATGAGATTTACAAAAAAAGAATAAAAACTAAAAAAAAAATGAAATAAACTCTAAATTTGAATTCAGCCAGGCAGTTTTACGATAGGTTATGGCAAGACGAGAAAAAAAATCAGTAGAGGAAGCGGGTTATTATGCATTCATTCCAAGAATATAGTTAAAACACATTATTACCAGCTGACGCCAGCAGTCATACCTTCAGGGTGGGCGATAAGGATACGCTGTACCAATAACCATGAACATCCTTAGTTCCCATCACGAAAATTTTCACGTTGTGGCCAATTCACATTATCAACTCAGTTGATAATACCAAATTATTGGAAAGTTACGTATGGAGAGTTCAGCACTACTAAACAGATTATTAAGATAGTGTTCAAAAGACTTGAGATTTTGCATGAGTATTTTCTTTCTTGGGTTCACATAAGTGCAATAGGAAAAAATGTTTGATATTGAATTGTTTTCATAGAGCATTGTTTTTTCTGAGTACTTACCATGTACTGCACTCGCTATTCTCCCTCATACTGGAAAACAAAGTTTTCGTCTCCTCGAGTTGTTCCTCTACAGTCTTGAGCTTTTCAGATTGATCTTTTATTATCGATCTCAGGCCTTCAATGGCGACTTCCTTTAGCTGTAGAGCGCCTTTAGTGGACTTTAGTTCCTCCTCCTTTGACTTTAAATCCTTCGTCGTTCTCTTAGCTTCTGTTTCTTTCTGTTTCTTCACCGTCTTTAGATCTTTTTTTAGTTTCTGGAAATTAGGTGGATACAACTTTAGTTGTAACTTATTAAAAAGATTTATGACAAAGCAATATCAAACAGTTTAAGCACTTATCAGTTTACAACTTTCCAATAAATAATGGGAAAATTGATGATAAAAGTAAAGTTTTCTAGGTTAACGATGTTCTTGATCATTGAATCCCACACAAGCGGTCAAATAAATCATCTCGTAAAGAGAATTTCCTCGGAGCAAAACTAACAGCAAAGTAATCACCGCAGCCAATCAGAACAAAGAAAAATACTAAAGGAGCCACTTGGAACTCAAAGTGAAAACAAATAAACCGGCTCAAGGGCGGGAAACACGGGTAACCAAGTGACGATTGGTTTTAGTTTTGAATCTGATTGGCTGAGAAAGTAGCGCGAGTTTTCTAGGCCAATCACAGAGCGATGTAAAGCAAAACCAGAATAATCCTATGTTACTTTCGACACCCAAAAAAGTTGCTCTCGTGCATCAAACTAATCTAAAAAGTTCTCTCTAATGTCTCGATCTTTCTACAAAGCGCAAGCTTTTGCCTTTGGCGTCACCTATCAACACGCGGACATTGCTGGTTGGTCGCTAGCCCCTGAAAGCAATCACCTCTCCAGAGCGAAGCAATCGATTTCCAAGCTGTTTATTTGAAATTCACTTTTTTTGTTGTTTTTGTCTTCCAAGAGCCACCACTTTACATTTGCTGTGAGCACCATCGGGAGCCCCGCCCTTTCCCGCATCCCGAAGCTCGCTCTCCCTAAAAAGGGAAATAACATATAGATTTAGCCAAGCCTAAAAGCGGAGCTCGCATTTTTCTTTTCCCACACGTCTCAACGCCTTGCCCCGGCCAGGACTAGAACCCGGGTCGTCCGACTCGGAGCCCAGTGCACTGACCACTGGACTACTGAACAAAGCTGTGGCGTTGGTGTGCCCGCGGTACAGTTGACCACGCATGTTAAAAGTAGCACCTTGTACGGTCGTACGGTCGTACATCCAAATTTTTTCGGCTTGATGGGTTACTACTATTTTGTGTAATTATGGGGCCACGCTCTGCGAGCTCCGCTATTAATTTTCACGGGGAGAGCAAAAAACATACTGCTTAGTGTCAAAATACGACTCGTTACTTTACTTCTACGTGTTGCCTACCCACAATGAATATTATGAATAATGCGCATTCCTAAGGGTTGGAAAATATATAATACTGCAGTTATACTGGAAGCTAAAAAAGCTTCCAGATACGCGCATATTTTGAGATGGAACGTTACCCACCGGAAATGAATATAAGTACTAGAGTTTTTGCACAGGGAAAGAAGGGCTGACGCTCGAAACGCCAGCTTTGAAACTCTTTTCGGTGGTCAATTAATATTGCCAACTTAGTTGATAAAACCAAAATTATCTTGTTATAATCCCCAACCGACGCAGCACCGAAGTTTCTTTAGCAACTTACCCTGTTTATTCATCATTAGTGGTTCCTATACTCAACACAAATGGTCTTTTCAAGAATTTAGGCTGCTTTTAAAACCTTAAGACAGTACAAGTACGTAAATGACATCGAATGGCTTTTTGGTGATGGTATGTCACTACCAAAATCCTAGGGCAAGCAGTATTAGGTAGTCACGACAATGGTGCGCACACATTCATGTACACCTGAATGCTCTATCCTTCTCTACAACCTTTTCAAGGTGGTACTGGAGACTAATTTGGGGAATTTTCGACAATTTTTGGGAATAAATATCTCATGACAGATTTGTTGCAATGACTTAAATTTTAACATATGATTTTACATATAATCAATCCGAGAGAAAAATACTTTAATTTAGCCCAGTGTCATTGAATTTGAGGAATTTCATGGAATTGAGGCGTGTGTCCCAAAGGGCACTCTGAGGATGAACTTCTCTAAATCCGAGCCAATTAAATGTTATTAGGAATGGTTTGGTACATGCACAAAAATTAAGGCAACAAAGATTTTCAGCGCAGTCCGCCATATAATACTTTACTTTGACAAATTTATCCAAATTATGTCATTATTAAATTTAGGTTGAGATCCAATACCTTCATATTCGGTCAATTCGTGGCTGACCGTGGCGGACTGCGCTGTAAATTTTCCTCATCGTATGTAGTTTAGTCTGCCAATTTCGGATCGTAAGAATAAATCTTTCCCGAGATAATGCTGTTGCAGTGACATGACACGATTTAGCTGCACTAATTCATTTGTAAAAAGTGGCAAAATCTTTGGCAGAATTCATCAGAGAACCCAATAGCGCAATGTAGATGGTCATAATCGCCATATTTGTCTTGCTGGTTTTCCCGCGAAACCTTACAGAACAGGAGTTTATAGATATTTGCGCCATTCGTAGCAACGACACCTATCCTGCGGTGTTGAGACAATCTTGGCACCCATGCTGTGCATTGGCAAGGGATGGAGAAACATCACGAAAGGAGAGGTAACAGTGAATTTTTAGACTTTCTCTTAAAGAAATTGACGTCACTTGGCTGGGAAGTGAAGAGAATGAAAGGGCGTCATCAGGAACCACAAAAATACGAGGTGGTGTGGGCAACTTTCAATCGATTGAACGTAGTGTGACAAAATAAAATACATGGTTATTCAATCGCTTATGGTTGCGACGCTTCCCGAAAATTAGAAATATCGGACATTTCTTAACATGAACAGGCTAACGAAAGCATTTTTGTGTTTTTGCTGCTTGGAAAATATAAGTGGTCAGCTACTGTTAAGCTCTTTCCATACTTGCATCCCTGGTAAAAATGCACTTCGTGTTTCATTACCGAATGGTTACTTATGAAATGGATGAGTCAGAAATGTAATCTAAAGGAAATACCGCATGAATCGCAAACACCGATTAGACCAGGATCGATTCGTCTTTTGAAACGAAACTTTTATCGCATGTATTTCGAAAACAACACGTTTTCCAATCGCAAAAATAAACGATAATCTTTAAGTACCATGGACTACCTCAATTTCCTCTGTCTGGCTCTTTAGTTCCTCCTTGAGTTCCCCCATGACTCTTTTGTAGTAATGTTTAGTATTGGCTGACACATCCTTCTCATTCTGGAGGCTATCTTTGAGTGCCTCACAAGCATTCCGTTCTGTTAGGTACAGTTCTTTGTAACACAGCTCTTCATCATTGCCAGCAGCATTGTCATCAAGTTTCCATTCCTTAAATTCCTGTTCAAATGCTTCCCTGACAGCATCTACTTGTACCCCTGTGGTACGTTTGAAAAGACCAAGGTCTTTTTCGCAAGTCTGACTGCAGTAATCTGCTGTATTTACTTCCGTTTGAGCGCTAGCTTCACGGGTAAAAACAGCTGTAGGTTCTCTCTTTAGCGACTTGTCAGAGGAGCAAGTTTCACTACTACGCGGGGGCCTAAGAGCATCCACTGATGCAGCGGTAGTGACTACCTTCCCAATTTTGATGCCATTCCTCTTAGCTAGCTCCTCAAATGTGTCCGCCGTCCTACATGCTGGAGGTATCAGTGGACTGCCTTCTCTGCATGGATAACATAAATTATCTTCACTACTTGCAGGTGACAAAGAAGAACAGGATGAACTGTCTGGAAATTTCCCAGTCACTTTGATATCTTTAACACGCCCGAATTCTTGAAAACTTACAATTTGGCAGTGCTCCCCGAAAAAGTATGGTGTCCCTGACCAGCAGTCATTTTCTTTAGCATGTGTTGATGTAAACGATTCCTTACCGTCTGAATAGAAAGGCGATTCCTGTCTTTTACCACCCACTCTTATTCCATTTAACCGCGCCATTTCTTGAAATTTTGCAATCTGGGCATCTTCAGTGAATTCCAAAAATTCTGACCCATCTGCCTCTATACTTTCTACCACATCCGATTCACAAGAGATGGTGGATAAACGAGTTGTACGTAACGAGTTTCCGACTTTGATTCCTTTGTGGTGCGCGATTTCTTGAAA